ACCGGCCTACCTCTAACCTACCGCTACTGGGCCTCTAAAAATGCCAACTTTTTGTCTTCTTCTGCTCGGCCTACCTACTACTCCAGTGTTTTTCCCCAGCTACTCTAAGTGTCGTGGGCCTACCCCCCGCTACCGGCGTGTTTACCCCCCTGCAACCCTTCAAAGTCACGGCCACAGGTAAGTACCGGCCCGGTGGGCCTTGCAACCAACAAGTACCCTTGCAGGTCACACACACATACCCAACCAGCAAGCACTCAGACAGGCATGCAAACCGGCAGGCACGTACACACACACAACCGGCAAGCACTCAGACAGGCATGCAAACCAGCAGGCACGCATACACACAGACTTGGGACCACAGCAGAATGCGGGAATCACAGCAAGGCATTCATTCCATTGGCAAATCCCAGAAATCAGCAGTGTTCCCAGTCTGTGTTTTTTGGCGGGTCATTACAGCAGGAACCTCTTCCATGAGCACCTTTAAGGAGGTCTTGCAAAACATCACAAACAGGATGAATGAGAGCAAGTCGGTGAAGCACAAGGTGCACTTTTGCCTACTGTCACTGCACTATGGATTGTCCGCTAACCTGTGCAGAGCTGGAGGCTGCGGCACCTGACATCATCACCAACTAAGAGCATAGATGACTTGCTTGTGATCCCTCATCCCTCCCTCCCAAGAGTAGGGTTCCCCCTTCAGATTGTCTGCCTCCCTCGTAGGGGCTCATATTCTTAAATGGGGTGATATTGCATTCACGGACGTCCAACATGGGCCCTGGGTATGCTGACCTTGGTTTTGGGTGCTCTGTCGCCGCGTCACCCAGTTTAGGTGACCCTAGGGCCATGATGTGTTTTCTGGTCCTTGGTACATTCTGTAGGACCATGAGTTATTTTTTGGCTGTTCTCTTCATTTTTGTTTTTTTATTCATCCATCTGATGTCTGTCGAGTTCTGTTCTGGGATGGTGTTATTTCAGACTTCTGATGCTCAAACAGACACAAGTACCGCTTCGGAGCATTGGTAAGTCTGGTCCACACGCTCTGGCTGTTTGAGGTCTCGAGAGACTTTGTCCATATAGGGCTAGAGTCGCTAGACCCTTTTCATGACCTGCAGCGCCTCATCCATTCCTTGTACCTGCTGATGCAGGAGGTAGGTTGGGTCCTAGACCATGTGTTTTTCGTCAGGTCTCTGGGCCATTGGCTCAGATTAGATTCGCTCATTCAATTCGTTGATTGATTGATGGACGGATAGATGGATGGATGGAATGGATGAAATAGATAGCAACGGATGGGATGGAATGGGATCTTTCCGCTCCCTTCCCTTCCCTTCCCTCCCCTCCCCTCCCCTCCCCTCCCCTTCCCTCCCCTCCCCTCCCCTCCCCTCCCCTCCCCTCCCCTCCCCTCCCCTTCCTTCCCCTCCGGCCCCCTTCCCTCCCTGCCCCTTCCCTACCCTCCC